AATAGACTATGTAAAATTACTCCCAGAGAAAAATGATTACTTCCCTTTGATATAAATGAACATAATTTCACATATTAGATCTCGTATCATTGATATATTAAAATGTTACATGCAACTCCTTTAGAAAGCCATCATTTTGGAGTTTCTAGGAACTGATTGGAATTGCCTTTCCAAGTAGGTGTATGAAGAGAAAAATTCAGCAGTACCTCAGGGTCAACATTTTACAAGTTGATTTTAGGTCTCTCTGTAAATTCCATTTGGGCTGTTTACCATGTTATTATTTAAAGTGATTATACAATGCTTCCATGATTACTAATTTGAGTATTATACAGTATTCATTTTCTATTTTCATCATTTTTGTTTTTCCCATTCACATGCTTATCTTTTCAGCTTTCTTCCTATGAAATTATTCTATCTTACATCTAAAGTCTGTGTCTTATGGCTGTATAATCCTTAAGTGCCTTCTTAATGTCATTCTCCCACCATTTCAATTCATATGTTGAGGGGGAAGGATTGGGGAGGTGTCAAAGCCTACCAATTTGGATGTACATGTGTGCATGTGTATACATGCATACATACCCACACTTATATCTACTTCCATTACAAATACATGTTGTCCACAGTGTCAGGGCCAAGACAACAACAGCACTTCTAAACCAAGGACCTACAGTACTTCTGCTGCTTGTTGGCTCACACTGCCCTGTGCTTTTAAGTAGAGTGCATAATTTATAATAATAGCCTATAGTGCATTAATTTTTAATGAAAACTAACAGCTGATTTTTCTCTAAGGAAACTGGTTTTGATTTTATTAACTTACAGGACAGAAGAATAATTGGCACATATCATTGTCCAGAAATGTATTCAACAAAGGTATATTTTATTGTTTTTTTAATGGTTTTATCCTTAGGGATATAAAACTGAGGTCTTGAACTCTTAATAATCATCACAGACCCCATGGCACGTTATCTGTGACCTGGTATCTTAATGCCAGGATCTTGTCCAAATTTTGGTTGAACTGCAAAGGGTGTTCGTTCTTTTGAATCATCTCCACATCATTTCCCCGATCACCACCTAGTTTTAACTGACGATGCATTCTTCATTTCCTATATTGAACTACACTATATTGTTTGGCAATGTTAGATAGCTACCACATTTTGCCTCAGGTGACTGCACTTGGTGAAGTGATGTTGCTTTTTAAAGTCTGTAAAACGCTTTGGGATCCTTCTGGATGAAAAGCGCCTGCAGAATAAATGTGTTTCACTGTTGTACTGTAAGCTTTTCTTTAGTTACAAGCATACATTTTCATTAGAAATGGATGAATGTGTTCTGTTGCTGTGAAACCCAACATTACTTTCCTACTCAAAGACACAAATCAACTCCAAAAATTAGGTTAATTTGCTTTTCATCATTTTGAAAAATCATAATCAAATGCACTTCCTATTTTGGAAAACTGATATCTGTTTAATGTTTATGAAGAAAAACACAAAACCTCTATCTCCTTGTGGAGGTTCATCCATTACTAATTTTCTGCTAGTAAATGATTTCCAGTGTGTTTTTAGAAAAGATGTACATACCTCCAGCCTTCTCAAATGGTAGTGTCATCAGACATGTGTCTGATCACAGAAAATTGATTATAAGAATAAAATATGAGTCGTGCAAAATGACATATATTCTGAAAACAAATTTCCTTTCCTTCTAAATTATTTAAATATGTGCCAGCTTGTTATTTATGCTGTGATAACTGTAACTGCATCTCTGTAGCAGCCATAGAAGTCTTCAGAGCTGGCCATATGAAAATTTTATCAGATTCCTCTTTAATTGAAATTATTATGCATAATG